CGGGCGGCGCTCCGTCTGGGCTGGAGGCGGCTCCTCCCGGGAGAGGAAGGGGTGTCCTTCCCTGTGCCTTGCTCCACCGATGGGTACCACCCATGGAGAAACATGCCAGCAGGCTCCTCGTCTGGCTCTGGAAAAGGGACTCTTGTCCAGTCCACGAACTAACGAAGCAATGCAGGGACATGGTGACCCTGTGGAGATCAGGAAGAAGAGCAGGGCACCCTGCACTGCCTGCTCTAAAGCCAGCCATGCAGCAGAGATTAAAAATCTCAGAAGATACAGAAGCAGCAGGAAAACCAGGGAAGACGCTTCCCTTTTGCGAGCTCTGTGGTTAGCAGCAGCTTGAGGTGACCATTTTCAGCAGAAGCCAGCTGGAGAGGCGAGCGGCTGACGCTCCTACTGACACAGCGTTCCTGCTCTCAACCTCCATCAGCCTACACCTGGAGCCCGTGCGCACGTTCGAAGGTGACGAGCCCGATACAAGCCTGAATGAACCAGAAAACTCAGGTTTTCCCTGCCTGGAACCCGCTGTATCGTCTGCCTGGAGTGCCAAGGGGAAATGCTGTCGCGGTTTGAAGGAACTGCTGCAAATAGCTACGGGCAGCTCCAGCCTCCCCACCTCTGGATAGCAAAGCACTGTGCGTCCACGGGCTGCCTACTCTTCCTGCTGCCGATCGCTGGGACGGAGAAAAGCATGCACTCTGTCTCACAAAGCCTTCTGACTGGGAACAACACGCCAGGTATTCGTTAGTATTATTTCATCTTCACTGTGAATCCTTTCCACACAACGTGAAGGCTCAGTAAGTTGTTCAAATGCTCTGGTGACCCTTGGTGGACCGATTCCTTCTTCTCTACGCGGCTGAGCACCTTCCCACATCCATGCACAAATCCGTCGGGATGCTCGTACACCACTCGGCTCGAACGAGCAGGGACGCATAGTGATGCAAGAGGAAAACCAAGTTCTGAAAGCTCCATGTGAGGTATCAGCAGACCGAATGCGCAGACCTGCACTTTGTATCTACCCAACGGTGATGCACGACTTTCAGTTCACTTTACACAAGCAGCAGCGAATTAGTAGGCCAACAGCAATGATTACAAAACACTTCAAAACTTTTTACTTTATTCTGAACGCAAAGAAACCTTCCTGGTGCTAAATGCAGATCCCCACCACCGCTACACAACTGTGTCAGTGACATGCAGTGACAGCTACAAGAAGAGAAAACTCATGGGTACCTGATGCTGTCGAGGTAGATGCCTGGTCGTCCTCCGGCTGAACTGTCTGTCGAATAATTCTGTCGATCTCCAAGATGTCCATCCACTGGCTCAGCTCGTTCTTCAGTTCCGCCAGTCGCTGCTGGGTAGCAATCTTCTCTCTTGCCAGCCGCTCCATCTCATGTTCGTATTCTTTTTCCTTCCTCTTTAAAGTCTGAAGAGAGAGGGAAAAAAACGAAATGTAAGGAGAACAAAGACAAGTATCATCTACACTAACCTGGTCACTCACAAGTTCATAGCGCGGGGTTGTTTATTACCAGTCATGCCGGTGCCCAAGGTGTTCAGATATAGTTCTGCCTTTCAATTTCAGGACGAAAGGAAAGGATGAGCGCTGGCCATGAAAACCTCCGGGGTTACTTTGGCCAACCGCTTTCTGCCTTCTGAAGGAGAACGGATGAGCCTCCAAAACTGAAATGCTTACCCACGTCAGGCGTGAGTCCCTGCAACTCCAGGGGTGAGTTTAAAGCCTAGAGCTCCTCCGGAAAAGCTGTGCGGCTTTCTCTCTGAAAAAAAGAACTCCTGCTGCTCTGCAGGCAGCAAATGAAACCTTCTTCCTGCCTTCTTCCTCCTTCACTCTAACCTCGCCGCCAACACTGAGAAACTAAGAAGCAATGACTATGACTCACACCTATAACGTGCCCCTCCCAGCACCGCACCTCCGCCCTGCTGACTTCCTCAGCTGACCGCAGACGCCGACGGCACGCGCGTGCCAACGCAGGCAGGCGTGAGCCTCTGAGGGGCAGCGACAAACGACTCGGGGGTGCAGAGCGCCTGTGGACGATGACGCAGACTGTCCCAGGGCCCAGAGGGGTATCTGTCGGAGGTGCAGCAACGTGAACCCGGACTCTCTGTTCACTCCTCTCTTCTGTTTCAGTCCAAGGGAGCTCCTTGTTGCACTTCAACATCAGTTTAGAGCGACAGGCGTCACTCGGTTCCCAACACCAGCCTCACTTCACCTGCCTTATGGAACATCTGAAGTGGACCGGGGCTTCTTCCAGACCGGAGAGAAGGTGCAAAGGGAGAGACATGGCCGCAGTTCTCCTGATCCCAGGCAGGAGGACACGAGCCCACCGACAGCTAGCCACTCGGAGAGCGGGGCCATGGAGAAGGTTCTACCTGCACCTATTCCCACGCATCCCCAGGGAGCGGACGCGTCGACACAGGGAGCAGTGCTGCTGCACAGCAGTGGGCTGCTGGCCCGCAGCTTGAGAGAGGTGGAGGAAACCCCACATCCTTGCACCAAGACAGAAATCTTGTGCAGAAGAGACAAGGTGTGTAGGAAGAGATGGCATCTTTTACCAAACCAACGGACCGTAGCTGGGGAAAAGACAGGCTCCAGGCACACAGGGCCAAGTAGGTCTACACAAAATCACAGTGCGCTTCCGTAACTGGCGCATAAACCATGGAGAGAGGGGGAACTTTTACACGGTCAGAAGGAAAAGCACAAGTACTAATTAGCTTCTGAACACCGCACACCACACCGACAGCTCCTGACCTAGAAGAGATGGCACAGAGCCGACAACACCCTGCAACACGGGGGAAATCCTGGAGTCACCTGCGAGGGAACGGCCTACGCTCTCCTCTTGTGCCAATACCCACTCAGTGCTGGAAATCCGAAATGTTCCTTGGCAGGGAAGGGAAGAGATGCTGCGTCAGTCAGCACAGGACACAGAAATGCCAGACACTACCCAGTACTATCAATGGGAAATAGAAACCACATAGATCTGATAGGGATCAATTACTGAGAAGCGCAGCAGAAAAACAAAAGCTGGTCTCCACAAAAGGTACCATTTCATGAGATTCGAAGCCAGCAGTGTAGCACAGTGTAACAAGATAGAGAACCTGTCCCCCAGCCCAGGTCAGCACTGACTCCAAGCATAAAAGAGACAACAGCAGTGAAATCTCCAAAGCCACATATAGCCTGTCCATTTTCTGAAGTGAAGTTTCGCCACGGGGAATCTCGATCACACACGCTCTTCTGAAAATACCAGCGACACAGAGCCTGCACGGAGGCTCTTTTTCACTCACTGCTGGCAAGCACGGAATTTAAAAGCAAACCTTACAGAGTGACAGAGGACCGGACTCCTGATCTTCTGAATACGTGGTCTTTATTTCTCTCTCGAGTTCTCCAGGACAACCACAATCAGCACCTGACCTCATGCGTTTCGGCGGTTCTGCCGGTCTTTTATCTCAAAAGTTAGCCAGGAATAACTCCAAAGCCTGTTCAGCCAGGCCTGAATGCAGCCCAAGCCAACACACTGATTAGGGTACCTCCTGCAGCCTTCTTGTAGAAAAGTAAAATGAAAACAAAGCAAAGCAAAAATGGGTACCTTTGTCCTGATAACAACAGAAAAAGGAAGTATTTTTAGAATGGCCAAACAACGCGTATTAGCAGGGCACCATCATTCCAGACGCGTAAATGGAGACAATTCCTCTCCCCAAGGCTTACGTCTTGGCCCCGGCCCAGCCAGCGCCGACTTCCACTCCGGAGCCGCACGCACGGCGAAGCCAAAATCCACGCGCTGGCTGCAAGCTCTCTTACCCTACTGCGGGCGGCCAACGCTTTCTGCCTGACCCAGCGAGCACAGCGGTGCTGCACGTGTGCTCTGCCTCCCTGGCAGCCAAAGGGAGCGGTGGGACACGGAGGGGCGGAGGGGAAGGCCAAGGCAACGAGCAAGGTGCTGGCTGCCGTGCTCCGGTTCAGGTATGTGTGAACTCGTCGAATGTCTTCCCCCTCCCCATCTAATCTGGAAAGAAGCAAGCAGGAGAAAGCCCGAGACTCAAACTGCTGCATACAAACGTGAGCCCAGCCCCTCTCCGCAGCCTTTCTCCCCAAGCACGTTCTCCACGCAGTTACTCCCAGGGCACGGTAACGCAGGGCTGGCAGACAGCACCACGGCTTTCCAGGAAGAGCCAGCAAGGAATCCACGCAGCCTCGGCACCCATGTCGCGCACAGCACAAGCACAGTCGAGCAGATTTGGCTTCCTTCCCTGCCGCGAGAGAAGACTCCCAGCACCAGGGGAAAGCGTGACCACGAGGTACAGGCAGGGTGGCTGGTAATTAATTAAACTTTTAATTACTGAAAAGGCAGGCAAGCCCTTAGCAAGCACCAGGACGAGCTCCCAGCGAGCGGAGCCAGGGAGCTCGCCCTGTCGCTCTCCGGGTGCTCCACTCCTCCAGCACTGGCTTCGGGATGCGGAGCTGCTCCGAGGCCGGCCCACGGGCTCTGCCTCGCCCCGCGCTGCGAGCGGGCTCGACGGGGTGCCAGCACGCTCCTCCCGGGGCTCCCGCAACCGGCGTGCTCGCAGGCTGGGTGCTCTCTGAGGCGTGCTGTGGGGGGGCTGGAGGAG